TTTGACATGCTATTTAACGAAGAAATTTGAAAGTCCCCCGATAATAACATTCCCTTTGCAGATATATCAAAAATGATTTGTTCACCGTGTCAATTGCACTCTTGCTTTTAATAAACTACTTTTACTATACGCATTTATTTGTTTTTATTTGGTATCGGAATGAGCAAGTCCTTTCACTTTCAATAAGTACCTACATATATATATATATATATATACATATACTTACATAATAAATAATCCATAAAAAAATAGGGATACATGAAAAACAAACAGTAAAAACAAAAGCACTATACTTAAATTATTTCCGACTCCGATGCACTTCACCTTTCACAATTATATTGCAAGTTTTCAACCGATTCTCGTCGTAATCTGAATAATACAAGCATAATAAAAATTATGTAATTTTACCTGTATACTTTTTTATAAACCTTTTTTCTTTCTTTCTTTCTTTTTTTCCATATTTCTTTTATTTATTTTTATTTTTACTTTATGGAATCAGGTGTTAAAAGGTATTTTAATAGTTTTAATCCGAGTTCATATACGATAGAAAATTTTATTACACGATGAGAGTATTGTATAGCACAATGTAAAACTAAGGTTAACACATATAAAAAGGAAAACACTTGAACTTTTTTTGTTTATTAAGTGCCTTTACACATGTCACAATTATTTAACTCTAATAATGAATTGCATGCGATAAAAAACAAAAAAAACTTTAATAGTGAACACTTTAAGGACTGTGAAACAAAAAAATTTAGTAGGAAACAATTGGTCGTTAACTTAGATAGCAATTTGTACTTCTTTGCACTTAAACACACCATTTATTATTTTTTTCCTGTAATAATTTTCTTGCATAAAAATATTATTTGTGTAATTCTCTCTTTGATTTTAGGGAAAAGTTTCGTTTACTGAAATTAACATAGAATAATAAATTCTGAACTGTGGGAATTGAAACCTACTATACAGGGCTTATAGTTTTTGGTTGGCATTGCCACAACAAATTTGTTATTCCTGTAAAACCTTTGAACTAACTTTAATCGTTACGCAAAGTAAAATTTAAATAATTCCCCGAATGTCAGATGTCTTATTTCCCGGATATTAGAGCCCCTTGATAAATACTTTTAGCTTATGTTTTCATACTCACCCCTTTGAATAAAGAATTATCAAACAGTTAAGTAGCAAACTCTTTATTCTTTTCTTCCAGTCGGGTCACAAAAAAACTTCTCTTTCCTGAAAAATTTCAGTCTCAAGTGAAAAAAGCCTTGCATTCTAACAACAGATGTTACTCTCCAAAAAAATGCTCGCAGATTTTTTTTTTTTCACGTTTTTTTCAGATGAAGAGTCGGAAAAACCGGTGAGTACTCCAACCTATGGGCTCAAGTCAGGATAAGCCAGCATTGAAGGCAGAGTTGGAAATGGTTTTCAACCATTTAGAAAGCGTAGAACTGTCTTCCTTGACATCCCCAAGCTGGTCTCAAACCAGATCAATGAATTTGTTATCCGTGCTAAATGCAACGTTGTCCGTCTTCTCATTTCCGTCTATGTCCATATGCTGAAGTGCCTACATTAAAGTAACTTTGTTAATGTTAATCCCAATGTTAACGGCACCAATGCCCCCAACTTATGTTACTTTGAACAATACATGTAAACTAACATGGCGTATCTAACTAGTGGAAATTTAGAAGCATTTGTATACAGTTAAATTAAATATGACAACTATCAAACAAAAAATTAAGTCATAAAAATTGACATCCGTGTCAACTAAAAGTGCAGCTGTTGTTTTTTCAAAAAAAAACAATTTCTGTTTTATAGACTGTACCACCCTAACACAACCTAAACTTTTGATTTTGTGAATTTAAATTTTTTAATTTTGAGTTTTAATTTTAATTGATTTCGCATTTTTTTACTGGAATTATAATTTATTACATTAGATTGTATAAAACTCTTTACCAAATACCCGAATTATGCTCTATTAAAATAAATTATTGAAAGATCCAAACTAACTCTACTTTATTATTAAACTGCAATATTTGTAATGTGTAGATTTTTAACAACAAACTAGATTTTTAAAATATTGAATAATATTATATAAATTGAAATGAATTGAAATGAAATTACTTATACAATTTAAAAAATTTCAAACATTAAATACATAAATAATTAATTTTTGTACAAAACCTAAAATTTATTTATGGAATGAAAAAAAAATGAAATTATTCACATAATTAAAGCAAATTTACAAATATTCAATCAAAAGTTGTAATTGAGATTCCGATAATTCTTTAGAATCCCTAAGATTCTTTTGTCTTGAATTAGAATTTAAAACTTTTCTTAAATAATTCGCCATTCTATCAATGAATTTTAATTGCTTCGTCTGTCTTAAATTGTTCATACTACTTTTTTCTTTATATAATTATTTTTTTTAAATGCTTATCTAAAATAAAAAACAAAAGTTAAAAATTCTTCAAATATAAAATTAAAATTTAAATTTTGAATATTTACGTAATTCATTCCTTTCCGCGATAACCGCAAAATGACCAACACGATATTTCTTGAACTGAACGCTTAAAATTCATTTGATTAATAAATAAATTTGTAAATTTATTGTTTCAATATATATAAACTTTTCATATTGATTTTAATAATTTTAATATTGATAAATTTTAAAATAGAAAATGAAAAAAAAAACAAAACAACTAAATCCCATCCCTCCAAATTTGAAAATTTAATCTTTATATTTAGAAATTTGGTGAAAATAAAATTATGTTTTTAAAACACGAATCTTTAATGTTTTTATTTTTCATTTTATGTTTAAAATATTAGTTTCATTGATTCGGAACAAAACTATAGTGTATAGCTGGTGAATCAACAACCTCAATATTATGTATGACCATTTGAATATTATTTTAAAGTATAAGATGTTTGTTTAAAACTTTGTTTAAAATAATTGAGCAAAAAAATCTCTTATTGTTTTCCTAAGACTTTGATATTTAATTAAAAATGAAAAGCAAAACTTTTGTTTTCTTTAGAAACTTTTCAAACGCGAACGAATATCTCATAATTATCATCATATTTATAACAACAAAGTGAATATTAATTTTAGGCGTACTATTTCGAAAATTTTCCAGGGGTGTGTTTAATGTTTAGATATTGCTCATATATTGTACAAATATTTCGGATATGCACTTATAAAAAGTTTTATGTTCATATTTTTTCAAGAGCTGCAACTAATTTTCCTAGCTTTATTCTTTCAAGAGAATATAGCTTCATATTGAGATTTGACTAATAAATTATATTTAAAATTGAAGAGAATATTTTGAATAGAAGAGAAGAGATATAAAATTAGATATTAAGAGAATAACATATTCAACAAATATTCTTAATTTAAATACAAAAAAGCACAAAATTTAGATGACAAAAACTAATCGATTAATCGTTTGTTTGCCATTGTCGAAGATAAACTTGAAGACAACAACTAAACAATAAAAATAAACTGCAATAATTTTTTCTTCAAATTTACAAATAAAAATTGTCGATGTCGGTTTTTCAAAGTTCTTTTTTTGAAACAAAAATCTATTTTTTTCAATAAACAAATAAAAGTTTCTTTTTCGAAAATTTTTATAAATTATCTTACGTACAGAATTGGATCTTTATGAACCCTACAAATTTGAGCTTGTAAACTAAAGTGGTATCTGTTTTTAACAAAAATGAAAAACAAAAAAATTTCTAAAATTCATAAAGCGTATAAATTTTTTTTATTGAAAAATTAAAAAATTAAATAGAGCTAAAGTAATTAGCAATAACTGCTATTACTTCTTTCTATCAATTTCTTGCAAAATCAAAGAATTAAAAGTTGCATGTTTTTATGCAAAATGAAATAGTTTTTTATGATTAAATGTTTTGCGCTAGTTAAATCAATTTCAATTAATTTTCACTATATTTATATAAAATAAAGAAAATCATAAAATGCTCATCATAAAACAATTGCATCAAATATTTTTTAAATGGAATTTGATACAGAGTGTTGAATATTCGGCATACATTATTATTAAATCTTAGAATTTTGGTCTGACTTGCATAAAATATAACATTCTGAATAATTGTTTGATTTTAAGTAAATTAATTAGAACAGGTTCTAAAAATTCGGATAAACTGTAAACACATACGAATATAAATTAATGTTATTGAAATTTTGACATCAATAAAAGTAAGGTTATGTATTTGATTTTAATATTTCATAATTACAGTTTACGTGCATATAAAGGTACACCCTATAATGCATGTTATGTGTGTGCTGCAACCATTTATGTTCGTAATTAAACTGTATTTAATCGTTTAATATTATTTCTATTTAGTTCTTCTACGGAGAAAAGCTAATTACCATGAAAATAAATTTTCCACAAAAATGTTGTTCATATATGAACATGAAATATTATTTTCTCCAAAATATGTTTACATTTTCATAAAATATATTGAAAATTTGTTATAAATAGTAGTAATTAAATAGAAATATTTTTAGATAGTTTATTATTTTCACATAAATCGGTTTTCAGGCGCATTAAAATCAGGCACTAATTAAATTCGGAAAACTTAATAAATTCGTAATTATATGCATTGGTATACAGCAGCTAAGGATATTTTTAAATGGAGTGCTCAAATCCTCCAACGCGGTGATTAAAAATATACGTAATGTTAATAATTAAAGAATTTTTAATCTAAAGCACAAATATTCTATACATAAATAGAATAAAATAAACAAAAAAACCAAAAAAAAAAAATTACAAAATTATAAAAATTAAGAAGTCACCAAAATAGGTGCGGTGTATCCCTTTACATAGATTCTCTAAAAAAATAATTAATAAAATATTTAATTTTGCAGAAATTAAATTTTAAAAAAAATGGTTCAACACAATTTCAAAATAAATTTAAGTCTATTTATAGCTGTGATAAGCCTTCTTATTCACTTAGTATTTAATGTGAAAACTATTGATGCTTTAATAATGGTGTAAGTAATAAAAATATAAAAATATTTTCAAAAATTGAATGAATAATACAAAATTGTGATTAATATTGTAAATGAGGAAGTAATTGATGTATGTGATATGTTTCCATAAAAAAAGCTTTAATTAAAATATTTTCAATTTTAAAGTGAAGAAAAAAAAGCTAATTGACAACAATTAAATGCCATTTTTGAATCTTTCAAATATAGCAATCAAAATTAATTAGAAGTTGAACAAACGTTTATTTACATTTGATTGACAAATTAAAAATAGTAGTATCGAAACCTTCGATTGAAAGTATATTGAAATTTTTTGTAAATTCTATTAAATTATAATAAATTAAATATTCATTACTTAATTTTAAAAGTTCTATACAAAATTAAAACGTAATATATTAAAAAAATGAGAATATTTAAATTAAATAAACAAAGTATTTTAAAATATAGAAAATATACTATTTAATTTAATCAAGCACTAAATTTTTATTTTTCTCTTTATTTTTACAATTTTCTAAGACGACATTCACCCTTATATCTGCATAAACCTTTATACAAACCGACATATTATGGTGCACCATCTTTAGTATCACGGAGAGTACATCGACATCTGTATTTTAATACACCATCACCATTCAGCCTAGCAACAGGATTTAACACTTCATTGAATACATTTGATGTTAAAAGGTCCCCTGCAGCTCATTTACCTGTAGCATCACCAATCACGTTGGATTCAACATTATCCATGACGCCTAAAGGTATGAATTTTCGTCGTTTTATGTGGAATGAAATGGATGAAACCATGGAAGATTTAATTCAAGGTGTTGCCAATGGAGCTGATGTTATGAAGCACATATTTGTGAATTCATTTGCTTATCCACCCCCGCAACCGGTAAGGCCAACGTATTATCGGTATAAACCACATTTTGAATATTATAAAGCCCCAATAGAACCCGGTCATAGATTAAGAAATTTCGCAAGAGATTTTTCATCAAAAATTCTCAATATGCCAAGAAAAATAATGAAAATAATAACAGTTCCTCCATCTTTGTTACCTTCTGTTGTTTCATCTGGACATAAACCAACTATTACTACCATTACAACGACTATCAAAACTGAGAAACCAGCAGAACAAAGTTTAAATATTGAAGAAAAATTAAATACGAAACCTGAAGTTCATAATGTAATAGAACCTATCTCGATGGAAGAATTAATTAGCCCGATAACACTAAAGGAACTTGAAAGAGAAGGTGAAAAACGTGTTGAAACCCGTATACTTTCGACAGCAAATGATAATGTTGTGTCTGGTAAAATTTCTGAATTTGATTCAAGTTGGACACCTATAGTAAATCCTTCTAATACAAAAACATACGAACCAGAAAAACCTAAAGTTAAAACAGAAGTTAGAGAACTTAAAATAAGAGAAAAATTTAAAAATATTCACCACCATTCGTATGAACCTCCACCAGAAATAGAAAGAGATGATGAAATCGAAAACCATGAAAATATTGAACCAACAAGTGAAGTTTTTTATGAATTAACATCACAAAGATCAATTCCGGTGAGCAATTTGCATATACAAGTTGATGATTTTACACCAATAAAACATAGCCAACCATATCGCCAATACGAAGTTACTGAAAATACAGTAGAAGAATCGAAACAAGTTCTTCAATCTATTAAACCGACAAAAAAGAATCAAAGAAAAGTTCCTACAACAACCACAACAACAACGACAACAATGAAACCAAGTAAAAGTAAATACGTTAAAACATTACCAAAACCAACCTCCTCTATGCACTATCATCAACGCACAATAAGTTCTTCAATTTCCACTTCTACACAATCCTCAACAACATCTACAACATCAACGACGACAGCACCAACAACTATTTCAACTATCCAAACAACTACTGAAAAACCAAATTATCCAGAATATTTTTTAGATAAAACTTTTTCTGATTTCGAAAAATTCGAATCGAATTGTGATGATCAAACAACTACAGAAAATCCAATTTTAAGAAAACTACAAGTAATTGTAAGAAAAGAAAATTTGGACAATGATAAAAAATATTCGCATATTCAGAGTGTTACAACAGCAAATCCAAGTAAAGTCAAACCGATACGAAAATATTCAACAAAATTGAAAATGAGTAATTTCAAAGATTTATATTCGAAAAAATCTGAAACAGAAACTCGAAAACAAACTTCAACAACAGAAGGTACGTTAAAGAAAAAAGACGTAACAGAATTAGAAGCAATTCCTAGTAGCCAAACAAGAGATCAGAATCGAGAATCTCGAAAATCATCGGCAATAATGAGGAATATGTCTAAAGGGAAATCATTTACAACCACAAGAGTACCACCACAACAAAATCACATAGAAACAACAACAATATATGGTAATCGTGATGTTAATTACTTCCGAAAAAATAAATTGAGGCGTGGCTCCCGAAAATATATTGAAAAAGAATAATATTTTAATCTAACACTATTTATTCATAAGTTGTATATATAATAATTAAAAATATAATAATTAGGAACTTAGTCACATTATATTTATTAATTGAATTCAATATAAATTTAATAGAAAAGCCAAATAAATTTATTTACAATGTAAAGTCTTAATATAAAAGCGATATTTTTTTTGTATTTTCATTAAATTCGTTACACCTGTTATAAATGTACCCTCATATTTCAAAAACATTTTATGCATACTAATTTATGTTACAAGATCTTTTATTTTATCATTATAAATTCGTATTACTCGTATTGTAAACATCCGAATGCTCTTGTATAGTCTCAATATATGGCATATATGCAATATATTGAGACTAGACAAGATATATGCAATATATTTTGTTACTAAACGTACCCTTAACATAGTTTCATAAAAAAAATAACCATTGCATATGTTTAGGAAAACATAAATCATTGTAACATTTTAGAATTGTTGATTTTTATTAGAAAACATACTGAACATAACTAATATGTGTACAGAATTTAGTCAAGAAAATTAAATTTTGTATGCTACAAAACAAATAGTATGAAACTAACTTTATGATTACTGACAATATGTTAACAATATAATAAGGTCAGTGTCCCGGACAATTCAAGGGAAATATAGAAAAAGAGCATTAATGGATTATGTCTTCACTAAATTTTGTATTTTACTAATAAGAGAAAAATTTATAATATTAATTATTCTACAATTGTCGTTTCTCCCAAATTTATGCAATTTAATACTTCAGGCAATTTACTCTTCAATTTCAATAAGAACATTTAGTTAGAGTAACCGAGGGCAATTGAGTAGATACAAATTTTATTTCAAGTCACAAAGTAATTATCAACCGTTATCTTCAGCAATTTGTAGATTCAATTATTGCAGCAATTAGTTGCTATGTGGTAACAACTAGTTTGTATGCATTTCTACAACTATCAACGTATTTAATACGCTGAATTTACATTGAATTTGAAGAAGTGTATACTGATCGTTTGTATGTAGCTCAAGGTTCCCGCTCGATACTAGTCATTTATTTTTTTTTCGTGCTGTCTCGAGACAGTTACTAAGTAATTTCGTTTTGTTGTATAGATTCCTTAAGCCTGAAATAAAATTTTCGTGCATATTTCATTTCAAAACTTCAGCTTTGAATTTGATTGTTTTATTGTCATTAACAGAAAAACGAAGTTAAAAAACATAAAGCAGTTTCTGTATGAATCGTTTGAAGATTAGAGACAATAATTCTCTTATAAATTTACACCATATTAAATAAGTCTTTCATTTAGAGCTTGCAATAAATAAGTTTCAACAAGACAAATAGTTCGGTAAAAATAACAAGGGAGTGAACGAAAGTGCTATTTAAATATATTAAACCGTATTTTATAAGTACAATTAAAAATTATGTACACTATGAATTCACGTAAATAAATAAAATTCATAGTTGCTTCATGTCTCGCACAAAATAATTTAATAGATTCAAATCTAAATTAAATATTCATGGGATCAATACCACAATTTTTCATATGTACATTTTTATAATTTTATTAACATATTAATGCTAAAAAAATCTTTTTTTTTTTTCAATTCCATTTTATTATGCAACTATACGTTAGCTTAATTTTACATACATACGCTTAATGCCTATTGTGAATTTCTATATTATTATAATGTAACATATTCTCTTTTAAATTAATTATAATTAACAAAATTATTATTGCAAATTATTATGCAAAAATATCTTAGTGCGAAAAATTTAATTTTTGCATATTAGTTTCGCTATTAAGAAATCACTTACTTTCTTGCATATACAGAATCAAAGTGTAATAATTTTTGTTTTACATTTAATAGTACTTACAGTAGCATTTAAATAAATAATACTCAGCAGTGAAGTGTTAAGCATCACCAGCCTACAAACAAATAATAGTTGAGAAGAGTATGATTATATGCAAATTAAATCCGGTAGATGGATTTAAAGAGAAAAAACTGCAAAATTTAAATTTACTAATTACTGGGTACAGTTTTTTAAAGTTCTCAAAACATCGTTCGTTTTATACAAACTACTCTCAAATACGTCAATGTAATTTGGAGTTCAATGTTCGTTTTGGATGACCACAAGTCAATAATAGCAAAGTATGTTAAAAATAAGTATATGCACATGTAAATATTTCAATAGTAAGACTTGAACAAAATTTTAAAATCTGTTATGTTACATGCTATTACAATTTGTTCTTACATTAGACTTCTTCATTATAAAGTGTTTCAAGCACTAAAAACTTAAATTTTATTTCGTATTCAACTACTTTATCAATCTTTAATGATAATTTCTTGTATTTAAAATCCTATTAAAGTTCAAAATCAAAAATACCGGGTACATTTACACATTTTTTCAATAATTTATTAAGAAAGTCCCATTCATAATTTCTCATTATATAAAATCTAAAATTTTCACATAAAATTCAAATTATTTTTAATTGTATAACAATTAAGTGAACTTTTTAAATCTTTCAAAATGATAAGCAATTATAATTATTGTTTAATGCTCTTTAAGTATTTGAATTATTTTTTTTTTCATGGAGATTTAAAAATCTCTACTATTAAATTCTTCAAAGTAATTTTTTAAATATAGTTTAATATTGCATTTGTTAAGCCAGCATTTAAGTAATTCGATCATTAACAAGCTTTTCTTCCCAAATATTTACAAGAGAAAAATAACTTTTATCTTATCAATGCGGAGAACAATGGAATTAGTGAAAATTTTTAGTTTTTATACAGCTATAGCCTTTCGCTTTGATTTTTTTTATATCATATTGAATCGATTTCGATGCAAATGCGACATAAATTAGCATAAGGTGCTTGTCCATAAAAAAATATTTATATAGTCGATTTATTTATAAAAATTTGTTAAAAAGAAAAGTGAAAGTGAATATTGAATAGCCAAATTTTATTAATCAGAGTTTGTTTTTTATAGTGAAAATTATTTAAAAAGATAAAAATAAAAACATTTTTTTTTCTCTTTTTTCCAAAATATTTTTTATTTCTTATTTTATTTCTGTTTTCTTTTCTATCTTAACTTACATTCATATAATTTCATGCTAAAAAATTAATTCTTATACAAAAAAAAAATATATAAAAATCTTATAAACTTCAATGAGCTCCAAATAAATTGAAATTTGGTGATTATATTTTTATGTAAAATAAAACAACAAAAATTATTTCACTTGATAAATACTTAATTTTTTTTTATTTTTTTCCATTTTGGATCCTATAACTAACGATCGATCATTATAACTGCTCATGTATTTTTTAGGTGATTATTTTCATTAACGGTATTAAAACACTTACATATTGGGTGATCATAAATATTTACATAATACGCTAAGATGCGATAATGAACTATACATATATGTATATACATACATGTATATATATAAATTACTAAATAATGTGTTTATTACTACATATGTATACATATAAAGAAAAATTGTAATGATAATAATTATTATTCAACAAAATGAGACTAGAAGGTACTTGATAAACAATAATCATAATAACTATGATGGTAATGATGATGGTGATGATGATGATGACAACAATGATAACAAAATATGGTGTAATGATAAATTGATGGCATATAAGTAAGTGCAACAATTAATCATTTTTAAATACATTACGGATATTACAATTAATTGGAATATTGTTTCTTTTCAACTGCTTATTATGCTTTGGTATTGTAGCAGCCTAAACACTTATATAATTGTCTTCTATATATGTTTACTTTTTTTTATAATACTTCATATAACAAGTGTAATGTTATTTCTTTCATTTTCCTATTCAATTTTTTACTTTTTAATTTTAATGTGGTGTTGGGTAACTATAACCACTATTGCTGCTACTACTGCCGCCACTACTTGGTGGGTTTGCCCATACACCCGAATTTGAGCTTGCACTACCTTGCCATCCACCTGATCCTGTTGATGACCAATCTCCGCCACCACCACCGCCAGTTCCGCCAAAACTACCACCATAGGAACTGCCTCCACCGCCATAAGAACTGCTTCCACCACCATGTCCAGAGGCTCCATGTCCATTACTAGAGCCGCTTGCAATTGCAACAATATGTGATATATCAGTTCCACTTCCATGTCCCGAACCACCAAATCCACCTGAATATCCTCCACCGCCACTGTGGCCGAATCCGCCGCCACTTGAATAGCTACTGCCACCGGAGTAACTTCCACCACCATGGCCTCCTGCGCTATGTCCACCCCCGCTATAACCTCCATATCCACCACCGTGACTTCCACTGTCAAGATGATTATTTGTAATTGCTATGGTTTCGACACCTACACTTCCGCCAGGATAACCACCGGCACCGTGTCCACCACCACCATGTCCGCCGTTACCAAATCCTCCTCCGTGTCCTCCACTAGAATATCCTCCCCCACCATGAGAAGAACCCCCATAGCCTCCACTAATGCCTCCACCATGATGATCATCAATTATAGCCAAAGTTTGAAGAGCTGAACCACCTTAAAATGTTAAGAAAATTTTAAAACCAAAATTAATTTTGTTTTTTATAATAAGCCCGAATTAAGTATCTATTGTGTTTAGAGTTTTGCAGTCCAATGGAAAAAAGTCATTTTTCAGTTTTTTTGGATTTTTCTGACTTCTGCATGACTTTTTTTGGTGAACTGATCAATATATACTTAAAAGGCTTTCGCAACCAGGCATGTAGTATTCTTCAACCTTATATAGTTAAAAACTTATTTATCACAACATTAAATATTTTTTAACATGTTCATATGAGTGTCAAAAAGTTTTAAGTTTTTTAAAAATAAAATAACAAGTTGAAGGAAACTATTTTAAATTGTACAAAAAATATTTAATTACCAGCAGAATGGCCATGGCCGCCGCCATAACCACCACTAATACCTCCATGACCACCAGAAAAACTACCGTGTCCACCACCAAAACCTCCTCCATGACCACCACCATGTCCACCACCCAATCCACCTCCACTTTCAATTATAGCTAAAGTAGAAACATGATCCCCGCCACCAAAACCACCGCCGTGGCCACCTCCACCGCCATGAACTAAACCTCCACCGTGACCTCCACCATGGCCCCCTCCAGAACCACCGCCTATCAATCCTCCAATTATAGGAGTTATATCAAAATCTCCACCATGGCTATAACCGCCTCCTCCGCCACCTCCTCCACCATGATGATGTCCGCTGTCATGAATTATCTCTTTTGTATGCAATGAATCAGTATGAACTTCTGGTAAATGTATTCTTATATGAACATGTTCCTTTCCAAAAGATGGTTTACCATGAACAACTCCCGCTATGAGAGCAATACCGAACTGTTCGAATTATTGGTATTATAAATAATAAAATTAGTGAAATTCATATAATATTTCATAATTATATACATATAAGAAATTTTAATTATTACTCGATTATTTTTGAAACTATTTCCGAATGCTAGTTTTAAATAATTGCTCTACAAGTACTTTAAAATAATTAATTTATACTCTGTCATTTAGAAAGAAATTAACTTTATATTAGGTATCACCAAGATCATTGACTTAAATCTTAACTTGTCATTATTTCACAACAAGAATTTGGTACTCTTGATAGCAAAAATTATTCGAATTTCATTTGTATCAAATTGCATTTTGTTAAATATTCAGTATAAATTTTTTGTAAAAATCGGATTATTAAAAAAAATTCGGATTAATAAAAAAAAATCACAACTAACTAATTAAAACTATTAAACATTTAAGTCAAAAATTATTCAACATAAAATTACACACAACATTTTGAATAATCTTCTAAAAAACGCGTCAAAACAATTCACAATATTAAAAATCAAACCAATTTAATATTTATTTGAAATTTGTATGAATGTTCCCTTATAATTTCAAAAGTTTCAACAGCTTATTTATCTTTTCGGAAATAATTTCAAAGCTGCTCATTCATGAATCAAATAATCCACTTGTAAATTTTGAGTTCATGAAAAAACAAATTTATTAAAATTTTTATCAAGTTATCCTTTTGTATTATCCTTATTTATTTTTTCTTATAAAAAGAGCGTTAACACTTACAATTAACCGAGCAGCCATTTAATATTTTGATAAAAATAAAATATAAAATTTAAGTTTTTAACAGTTCAACTTTTTTGTTTGTTTCCTTTTTTCAACTTCACTTAATATTAAAAATAATTTTTTTTTTTGTTTAAGAAGAAAAGTAATCTTCCTTGACAAACGCAAAACTACGAATGATATGGAACCTTTTCTGACCCAAAACTTTTATATAGTTTTGTTTTCTTTACAACAGATGTACCATATTGAAAATCATATGGAGGTAAGAAGATTGATCATCCGCAATGTAAAATTTTAACCACCAAAAATTGTTATTTAAAAAAAAATACAAAAAGTACACATTACACAGCAACAGTAAGAAATAAAAAAAAAAAATGTAAAAACAAAAATCTTCACAACAAAAGTAAAAGAAAGTGGCGGGAGAAAAGTATTTTTCATGTGACTTTTCTTTTCTTCTTATTTCTATCTCCAAAAAAAAAAATAAAAAACAAAAAAGAAATATCGCAAAAAAAAAGTTTAATTTCATTTAAAAAACGAGACAAAAAACAGTAAAGCAAATCGAAAATTCAAAAAAGAAAATTTTAGTTTTTAAAAACAAAATAAAACTCAAGTCATACAGAGCATAACACGATTACAGAAGCAATAATAGAGGCAACAACAGCACAAATCAGAAGCAATAACTTACCCATTTGATTATATTCGAATGTTTACATCATGACATAGGATAGGGATAAGCTTAATTATAGCTGTTTCTGTTTGTTTTTCATTTTTACTTTTGTTAAATTTTTTTAATATTTTCTTTCCTTTAATTTTTTTTGCTTTCAATTCGAATCGCTTAAAATCATTTATAATTTTCCATATTTTTTTATTTCGTTTCGATGGTTACATGTAAAAATATCAAAGTTTTTGAAAGTTGAAACAATTACTTTATGTATGAAGATAATTTTGACTGTGTTCAAATTTCGACATACGAAAGTTCAAGATCAGTACACGGACGCCTTGAGATATGCAAATAATCCAAAATCGACAATATGGTAATGGTCCTCATAATTTGAAAAAATAACTATAGTTGGATAGAGCTGTGACAGATTGTAAAATCCAACAAATAATGGTATTTTTTGACTATGTCGTCTGTACGGTCTCTTGTTGATTCGTATATGCTTCGAAAGTGTTAAGACAATCCAATAAATAAACCCAATCCAAAATAAACCCAATCGGCGAATACAAATTTTCGGTAAAAAAATAGCATACAAGTTTCACGAATCAAAAACATATTTCCAATTAAATTTAAAATAATTGCCTGTATAGTACAAATGGCAATTTGTTCACTATACTTTTCGAGAGTATACTTAAAAGTATACTATTACAAGAGTATACTTTTCGCGAATATCAGCATAGTATGTCACTTAATTTGACAGTTTGCTATTTTTTTTTTCGCTAATTAAAAACTCAATTTTAATTACTTTATTTTTTATAATTAAATTCGCTTTCACTGTCTGCCAAATTTTAAAAGCAGATGTTCGTTGAAACCACAGAAAATGAATAACTAGTATAACACAATATTGTATACAAAGTAGGTATAAAAATATAAAGTCATGATCATTATCATTATCATCAGCACCCATGATTATTTTTGGACTTGGAAATGTTCATTAAAAATCAGTTGAAACTTTTTGCAACTAAAATTTAAAAACAAAAATAATTTTGAATCATCATTATCATCGCCATCATCACTTATCCATACAAACACATACAATTATTATTATAAACGTCATTGGATAGGTCATGGTCGTGTTTAAATTATTTTCATATATACATATATTTTATACACATACATGATATAAATAATAGATGTTATCAAAAATGTGATGTTACTTTTCACCTGTGATGATGTAAACGGTTACGTATTACGAATTACGATAATATATAACGGCAAAAATTTAGGTGGAGAAAAGAGAAAGAAAATTTAAAAGAGGAAAAGGAAAATTTAATACACAGAAAAATATGCACATATTAACGATCTGTTATACTTCATTTTTTTTTGTATGTATTACGAAAGACGGCACAAGAAAATGAAATAATAGTAAAAATTATATGTTAATGAATGCTGCATAATAGCAATAGGGATTTTTCTTGCATATAGGCAATTGACACTTGGGTATTCACCAAAAATTTTCTTTTAAGGAAGTAAGTGATAAAAAATGTTATTTTCATGTGTTCACCATACTATACAGATACATATGTTTGAATATATTGAAATATGTATATTTGTGTATGTCGAAAATTACTTTATTTTATTTCTGATAATATAACAGAGGCTCAATTAACAAAGTAAATTTTTCACGAAATCAACTTAGATGCCGTTTAGAAATCTTTAGTTAAGTGTGTGTGTATGTATTTTTATGAATTTTATGTATAATTATATTAACTGAATATAATTCAAATTTTATGTCTAAAAATTTACTTTATTTTGGATTGTTAATTTTTCATACTATTATTTCCTGTAATATTTTATAATTACGTTACTTCAAGTGTCACTAATTGTGATATTTTAAATGAATAAATAATAATATCATTGATTTGAAAATTGAAATTCCATTTAATATTAAATGTCACATTTCAATAGATCCATAATTTTGATTGAACAAATTTGGAAAAAGCTTTACTTCATATCTCCAATTAACATGTCTGGGAAAGTAGTCTTTTATAACACATTCGTTTACCAAAACTTTATAATTTGACATAAAATGGTTCACCATAGATGCATTCAAACTATACTATCAAACATATCGTCAAACATTTAGTGGGCAATGTATGTCATTTGAAAATTGACGTATATATGTACATACATAATATGTGTATGTATGTTCCAAAATGATAAAACTAACAGTACAACAGTATAGATTAAAACAAAATTATTTTAACTTTTCATTTCACTTTCATTTTGCTCTTGTTTCCTTTCTAAGTTTTTAAACATCAATTTTTATTAAACATTTTTTTCTTGTATAATAAATAAATAAATTAAAAAAACCTTTCATCTTTTATCAAATTCCTTTTTACTTTTTCCAAAAAATTTTCATTCATACGTCGACGTTTTGTGTTTTTATACACAACATGATTTATTTATACGAAGTTAGTGCCATGGCAATATAGGGAAGGTAACCTTTCCATTACATTACAAATTTTTATTGTAATTTACCTTTATTTTTACGTGTAAATAAATTGAATTTTCTTTTATTGCCGTTATGTATGTTACTTTCCAATTCTTTTTTTTTAAATACACTATTTTTTTCCGTATTCCTTTGTCTCAAATTTAATTTTTATTATCAGATCACACAGCTCCAGCCCTAATATAAAAATTAGTTAGTGTGATGGTTGAAAGCAGAGCTTAGATTTAGATTTAAAATTTCTATCTTTTTGTATAGTGAGTATGGGTGCAAAGGTTTTCATACTGCTTCTCTTTATTAGTATTATGACTTAAATAGATTTTTATGTACATAAGGTAACTTTATTACAATAAAGTCATTTTGGGCAGACATGTAGCATTTTTTTGTACAATTTTTTTGTAAATGCTTTGTGGTGAGCAGCTGAGCTAAATAGTAACTTATAATGATTACAAAAAATAGTACAATTTTAACAAAAGCAACATTATTTACGATCATACGCCTACCAGCATCCAGAAATTTAAGAAGATCTCAATAAAAATTCGTGAAATTCCTTAAAATTTAAAACTAATTAAAATATTTTTAATTAGTTATACATTTTTAAATAAACAACGTATGTATTTTGTTATTAGTTCTATTCACATAAGAAATGCCAGTTATTTAAGTATACATTTTTTAATATTATTTAATACAGACATTTTTTTAATATTATGTATGTATTATATAATTTTTCGAAAATAAATAAACAAAAATGATAAATCATGAGGTGGAAATCATTAATGAAATAATGAGATTTATAAATTTGTGATGAAACAAACACGATAACCTTATTAAATGTGTAAAATTCAACC